TATTTGTGTTTTTATTGTGTGCGTTTTTGCGCAATTTTTGTTTAAAAATGCGCCCGACTTTTGTCTAGTGAGTGTATATTATATTTTTTTTAAGATTTTTAATTATGAACACTCTTCCCCCCACGTATATATATTAATTAGCCCAATTGATTAATCATCAATTTTTTCCACACATTTTAATGTTTTTTTAAGATATTATTTATTAATCAAATTGAGAAAATAAAGAAATTAATTAATTAATTAACAAATTAACGAAACAAACAATTAATATTAATAAAGTATATATATATATAATGTATTATAAATAAACAAAGATATTGAAAACAAATCATTACAAATAAACATAATTTTAAACTTCGTCTCCGGCAAACATTATTAAAAAGAATGAAAATGTAAATAATTTGTATAAATAATCTATAATCTACTGTATATGTATGTATGTATGTATGTATTTTAATTATCTTATAAATATTGTTATTTTTTAATATGTGAAATAAATTAATTTTGATTATTAGATTGAGCTAAACGTGCTTCCAAACTTCTTAATGCTTCTTCTTTTGCCAACAACTCTTGTCTCTTTTCAGTGATTTCACGTTGTACTTTTAATTCAATTTCTCTCAACTAATTTTTAAAATGCAAAATTATAAAAATTAATAAATACTGCAAAAGAAATTGTAAAAATCAGCTTTTTATAATATTACCTTCTCTTCTTCACGTTTCAATTGTTCTTCCTTCAAACGTACGCTTTGGGTGGCAAGATCATCAGGCAAATTACTACTTTGTTCTCTATCATTTTTAGAAATAAAATTAAAATAAAATAAATTTAGAATTTTTATTCAGGAAATTTTTTTTATTCAACAAAATTAGAAATTATTTTGATTTAACTTACTCATTATCAGAGTTGTCTTCGCTTCGACTAAGTTTTTCAGTACGATAATTTTCATATAAAAAGTCGTGCGTGATTTCTTTCAAATCTTGTAAATGAGAACTATTTAATATAAAATAATATATATATATATATATATATATATATGGAGTTTTAATATAAAGTAAATATAATAATTGTAATAATTATAATAGGAAAATAAAATAAAATATTTACCTTAATAATGCTGATCTCAATCTTGCAAAATCTGAATGTTGTGGATTATCAACTTTTATTTTTTAGAGGAAAAAATTTTATTTAATGGAAATTTGTAAGCTTTTATTCATGTTATTAAATAAGGAATATTTGTTATTACTTGTGAATAATTAATTACCTTCAACAACACCCCAAGGATATTGTCTTCCACGAACAGGTTTTCCATTAACAATAATATCCTCCTCACTTCCAATAATAGCAAATGGTAAAAGTGCCTTTAATGCATTAAAGTGTACACACACATATATAATTAATTATGTGAATGCTTGCTAATAATCAAAAAAAAAACTTTACGTGTTAATTGCAATATTAAAAAATTCATACTCTTAATTCACTATTTTCTTCAACAGTATCTTCATCATCTTCCTCGATATCATAAGGAAAATTATAAATAGGAATGTTATAATGATCAATATCTTCCATTATCTATTAATTAAAAAATAATAAAGTTAGTAACATAAAAAATTTTTTTTTGCTAATAACAATAATAATAATATGTTTATTTTTTATACCCTTTTTTTAAAATCTGACAATTCATCCGGTGTACAAGTATCAGCTTTACCAATAACTGGGATCACATTTACACGTGGACTAAGTCTTTTCATGAGTTCAATATCAATTTCTCGAAGACTTTTATTTAATAAAAAAAAATTTATTATTATCATATAATTAAATTATAAACTCAAGGAGATAATGTATAAAAATTACTTACGAATGACCTGTTGGTGTTATGAAATAAAGAAGTGCATGAACTCTGTTATCTCTGAATCTTGGATTACGTTTAATTCTAGATTCTTCAGCAAGAATATCATCATATTGTCTTTCCAAGTAACCCATAATTTCTTGAAAACTAATATTTATGTGGATATATATATATATTATTATTACTTTTAACGCCTACATTAATAATATATATATCAATATATATATATGTGTGTGCATTCTCACCAAAATTCATTATCAATGTTGTCTCCAAACCCAGGTGTATCTACGATTGTTAAAGCAATTCTTATGCCATCTTCTTCTAATTCTATACACATGAATACAATGATAAAGATATATATAAAGTTAAAGCAATCATCAATATTCTCCCTTTAATAATATAATAATGATAATGATGATAATAATAATAATAAAATATCCATTACCAACTGTAACAGGTTTAATACGAATTCCTTCTTCAACGTGAGCGGTTTCGGGTGAATCACATAATTTTGCTTTTAACACTTCACTACCACAAAGCGTATTGACAAAAGTTGTACGGCCAGTACCAGATGCACCTATGTTGAAAAATATTTAACTTGATTATTTATTTTTATCTAGATCTAATTGTCAAATTAAATATACAATCATATATAGGATGTGTTTTATTTATTATTAACTTTTCATTAATGCTTACCAACCACCATAAGAGTGAATTGAAATCCTTTTTTATTATTCTTTTTACGTCCACCCATTCTCTAAATTTATTAATTTAATAAATAGATCGGTATTTATTCTCTGTTTTTTTTTCTTTATAAAAATTTTTATTTGATTAATTCTTTTTTGATTTTATACTTACGTGTGCCATCTTTACTTATATATTAAATTGAGAAAAAACTTTATATATATAACAAGTCAGAAGGGAATAATGTTTCAATTGAATAACTGAGTTTTTTATCAAAAACAAAAAAGAATAACTAATAAATCAAAAGAAAATAATTTTAAAATTTTTTATTAACGTGTAGTGTAAATTTATTATTATTAGTGACACTACCTTGTAATACAAACAACAAAGGACCTATCATAATTGTAATAATGTAAAAAAAATTTATGAATTAAATGAACCGTTCAACTCATAGTTGTTATAAGAGAATTGTACGACTTGTAAAAAAAATTTAATTTTTAGAAAAAGGAATCGAAGAGGAATGTGTATTAGTATTAGTTAGTATTAGGTGATAAGCTTATTATTTATGAAGAAATAAAAAAGAAAATATTTATGTTGCAAAGAAAGAAAAATCAATTGGAAAATGCGGAAATAAAAAATATCTTTATATAATTTCGTAAATTATTTGAAAAAAACTTTTAAAGATGGAAGAAATTGAATTATTAAACAAATTAAAACTGTTGATTGAATCAATCTATCCAAGATATGATTTATTATACAAACCAATCTCACCTGTATTTGGTTATAAATCAATTAGAATTAATAATATTTTAAATGAATTATTTGAAGCTTTAAAATTAATAAAAAATTGTGCTGATTGTAATAAAGAAATAATAATGATCTTATTGATTATTGAATAAATTAATTGATGCATTAGAACAACTTTTATATAGATTAAAAAAAATTAGGAAGAAGAAAGTAAAAAATTAATTCAATCATATCAAAACTTAATTGACACGGATGTTAAATTGGATAGAGTTGTATTATGCAACAGGTGCAAAGACAAGGTAATCGAAAACTTAGCAGCTGATTATGGAAATAAAGAAATAGCCACATTTCTTTATGAATATAAAAAAAAATAGATATGATAATAGTTATAGTTATATTGAATGGATTCCCTTTGATGAATTCAAAGATATTGAATATTTAGCTAAAGGTGGTTTTGAAGTTCATAAAGCAATGTGGATCAGTTATCATTCTCATTCATATGATCAATCTGAAGTAAATGTGGTATTAAAAAGATTATATAACTCAAGTGATAAAATTACAAATATTTTAAAAGAGGTAATATATAATAAATAATATATTCTAGTATATTTATAACTATTGACGATTTTAGTTAAAAGCAAATAATAAAATGGATATTTGTGTAAATGAATGCTTTGGAATTACAAAAAATCCAGCATAAATGAGTATATGTTGGTATTTAGTTACGCTAAAAATGGAGACTTGCATAATAATTTATAAAAAAATTTCACGGAAATTACTTGGAAAAATAAAATAACTTTATACATTTTATTATTATTATTATTATTATTATAAATTAGTTTAAGGAGAATTCATGAAATGAATTATATTCATCATGACTTGCACAGTGGGAATATCTTTTCATATTCTAATTGTTCTAGCAAAATAGGAGATTTAGGATAATGTCAACAATTAATGAATAAAAATGAGAATCCAAATGAGATTTTTGGGTCATTCCATACCTGGCACCTGAAGTATTATCAGGTAAACAATATACAAAAGAATCAGACATTTATGGTTTTGGGGATTATGTGGGAACTACTACAGGTAAAAAACCTTTTTATAATGTGCCACATGATCATCATCTAATAATGGATATTTTGGGAGGAACAAGACCTAAAATCACCAAAGACACTCACGAATTCTATGCTGAATTGATGAAAAAATGTTGGGACTCAAATCCAGGAAATAAACCATCTGCTGATAATATTTATTATTGTTTCTACTATTCTATAAGGCCTTCTGAAGAAACTAAATTGAGTCAACAATTTACTGTATCATCAAGTGTAAAAATTCAATCAAATACTTTAATTAAATATAATTTAGAAAGTGATGCTTCAGTATTTATGCCAATACATTTAAAAAATAATGGTGGTTGTGATAATGTTAAGGATGATGATATTGGAAGATGTGGTGGTGGTAGAGGCATTATTAGTAGTAATGACAAAAAGAGGCAATTAAAAAAATTAAAAAATATATTTAAAAAAATGGATTTTATTATTTATTTATAAATTTTTTCATTGCCAAATTCTCGAAGATAAAAAACTTTAGTTCAAAAATGCTTTAAGATATGATCAAAAGTAGCGTATACCTTAAATAACTTATTAATATTATTGAGTTTAATAAATTCGCTATCATTAGATTTATAATAAATAAAAATAGTAATTGATATTAATCTAGAACCCAGTAGTGGCAGTATAAAAATAATAGAAGAGGAAACGGAAAATCTGCTTTAGTTGATGTAACATTAATTAGAAGCGCTAATGTTTGAGAATTTTTTAATAAATCAGTAGAAGCTTCTCATTCGATTAAAAATGGTTTAATATGTAATAATGGAAAGTTTATCAAAGTAGGTGGAAACTTATGATCCATTTGTTTTTAATAAAGTTATAATTGGTATTCTATTGTAAGAATCGATTTCCTGAATTTGAAGTTGTTGACAAGTGTGAAAATGAAAATTTTGCAAGCACAAACAAAATAATTTCATTTCATTTAAATACTTGTAGCCTGATAAAAGAAGAAAAATGGAGAAAACAACAAGATGACGAAGAAAAGAATATGATTAATTTGAAGAAATGGATGATTAGATTTTATTAATATGTATTAGTGTATCTGCCTCCCACTAAAATTCAATGTGACATCATCATTTTCAACAATGTAAAAAAGAATTCCAAATCCACAAATCTAATAAGAATTAATCACTGAATCAATGATAAAACATGTACGCAGTTCGCTGGACGCATGAATAACAAATAAAGCCTTATTTGTAAATATGTAAATTGATTAACTCAAAAGTACTATATTAAGCTTTCCATTGTTATAATAAACTTACCGTTAAGATAATTTTGTGATCTTCTCTCGTGATGTTGAGGTTGTTTGTAATAAAACCGTTAAGATCATTTGTATAGACTGAAGCCAAACATCTTCGACGCTCCTATTATTTGACACAAAAATTAGGTTGCTAGGTAAAACTAATCTACTAATTATTATTAATACCTATCTTCAATTGAATCATAAATTTGTGGTGATAGCCACGAGTCATATCGGCAATATTGATTATTGCTAACTCTCATTATCGTGCCATCTTGAACATTTACATAAGACAAGATAACGTCTAAATATTTTCACGATTAGTTGGACTTATGAAATTAATGACTTCTTTAATACGTTTCTTTTGGGTATTATTGTCATTGTTGTAAATGTAATTGGAGATTCTTGATTGTTTTTTCTTGCAATTGTTGCTTATTCTCTTCAATATTTCCTTCGCTTGATCATTCTGACTCCTGATTAAATTAATAAGTTTTTTCTAATAAACCGATTTCTGAATATTGATAATGTCTGACGTTCATTCATTTGGATTTATTCAATAAAACATTGTTCACTTAAAATGCCTCTGACTCTAGGTTAAGGTATATATAAACATTGAAGTCTAACATTAATTTTAATATCGGAAGGTTTTTTTTCAAATGATTATCTGGTGTTACAAAAAATAAAAAATAATAGTAATCAAATAATGAATGCAGTTTCGTTTATATTAATCTGCAATATTAATTAATAACACATAAAAAAAAAATATTTTTTTTAAATAAATGACTCGTTTTTCTTTTTCAATTTTTTATTCTCTAAATAAATGCAGAATTTCTTTAATTTATATCAAAGACACATATAATACTTAGGAATTTCTCGATGGAATTTTCAAACGAGGTTTTAGCTATACTTCCTGATAATATTTCTATAATTTCATCAGAGGATTTAAACGTCTTTAGAGAAACCAGGTATAAAAATAATCTTGATAATATTGGTATTTGGTATTGATATATCGAATCAATTGAAATTGATTAATTTGATTAAAAGCAAACAAGAAGGTCTCTGCAAGATCATTGATACAATGGGTAAAGCATCAGCAAAGGTAATTAATTAGTTGTTATCACTATAAATTATAATTGTTAGTTTTGATATAAAAATAATTTTATTTTGTAGGCACAAGATCTTAAAATTGTTATAACTACTACTAATAAAATGAAAGAACATTTGCATAATCTTTACATAATGAAAAACCCAAATAATACTCATATAGTCGGAATTCTAAAAGTTGGAGTTAAAAAATTATTTATTGTGGTAGATAAATTTAATTAACACATATAATTATTATCCGAGTATAATCATCTTAATTATCTTGTATATGTGTGTTAAATTTTTTTAATTTCGTAAAGGATAAAGTAGGAAATCAGCATGAGATAGAGCCATTATGTGTCCTTGATTTCTATATACACGAGAGTTATCAAAGATCAGGATATGGTAAACAAATATTTGAATTCATGTTAAAGAGTGAGGACGTCTCACCAAGTAAATTAGCGTATGATAGGCCATCAGAAAAATTTCGCTCATTTCTTAAAAAACATTATAATTTAATTAATTTTATTCCACAACCCAATAGTTTTGTAGTCTTTGATCAATATGGATTATCAGGTTTGATTTACATTGTTGATCTATATATATTTTATAAAAAAATACAAATTTAAAAAATTGATTTTTTTTAATTTTTTGTAGATTCAAATAATAATAGATTTGATAAAAGGCCAAATACACGTAGTAGGATGCAACATAATAGATCTATGAGTGATTGTGGTAGAATAGATAAAAATAGTGTCGTTGTGGAAAATGAAAGAATTGTTGGACATAGATATACAAGATCTCTCACTTCAAATCGTCACTCTTATATTTCCTCTGATTATAATAGTGACAGTGGTAGTGGCAGCAATACTTCAAAATCAGATAAAAATAAATTTTTATCAGTCACAGCAGCTGAACATTCAACAATTCCAAATGAATTATATGCAGAAAGAAAACGTGAAATTATAAATAATCATAAAGAAAATTTTAAGAAATCATTGTATGGTAACAATCCAATTTCATGGAACAATGAGTAACAACAAATAACAACAATTAACAAATAGATAATAATATTTATATATGCGTACATATATGATAATGTGATAAAAATTATTTAAGAATCAGAGTTAAAATTATTTTCTAGATAAATAAAAAATAGAAAATTAAAATCCTTTTTTTAATTTATTAAACTTGCGATTCATTGTAACCTAGTTTCTTCAATAATCCACCAATAGTACCTCGAGAGAAACCTCTTATGTATCTAACAAGTAAATCTGTTATGTTAAAACGGAAAGAACAATCAAACTATATCATTGTGCTATGCACACTCTACGTTGAAGGTCCAATATTTGTTCATCATACCAATTAATTTTTCTGATCTTGCTCTCGATTTATCTGATGGGTCGTTAGAGCGTGGTTTTTTGTTTGTTACTTCTTCCCGATCACTTGGTGTCTGTTGTCTTTTGTTTGGTGATGACGATTGTTTTTTTTACAAATTATTTGCTGCTCAAATTAAAAAAATTATTATATCAAGTTGCAAATATAACAATCTTTTTTTGGCCGTACATTCCAAAGCGTCTAACGACATTAAAAGGTTCGATTGCTCACATTGCACTTTGAGCACCAATTGTCTTTATTTCCCATGTTGTACTTTGAGCAATTGGATATCGCAATTCCATAAAATTAATATCTCCTCAAACATCATCCTCATCCCTTTATAGTCTCTTACTCAGTCCTTCAGAGATGTGTGCGAGGTTTTTTATTCCAAAGAAATAAATCAATTTGACAGCACAGATATAAATCGAAAATCACTTACCTACAAACAAAAGGCCACAATACAAAAAGAAAATAAGAGAGTTTTTGGTGCATTTTTTGATTTGGAAACAAATGGAGAATATCTACCGGTATTGTGGCCTCAGTTTTGCTAACTGAATCACATATATTGATAAATATACACTCCATATCACTGGTAAAGTTATCCCAAATGGATCTTGTTGGACTGGTCATCCAATTTCAAGCCAACGTAATGATAGCAAAAAAATCTTTTTTAATTATTCCTTGAATTGGACAAAAGTATCAGAGAAGACTAAAGATGAAGTTGAAAAAAAGATTAAAGTTGCTAATGCTGTCAAAACATTGGGAAAAGATCTCAAGAAGAAAGAAAAAAATCTGTCAACGCAAGCCAAATTACACACAACTAAACAATAAGCATACCAGGGTTTGCAAGCTACTCACAAAGAAGTAAGAGAAATGCGAGAGAATCTTATATCAAAAGAAGCACTTCTTAGGCAACTACATAAACGATAATATTATTGGAATAATATGATACTCACAAAGGTGTCAAATACTAAGGAGAAAGAAGAAATCAACAATGTCGAAGAAAAAAAAAATCAATAGAGAAATCACAAACCAAAAATCCACCACTTCGACATCATCGGATGTTAATCAAGATAACATGTTCTTTGGGATTAAAGACAACAGTTGCGATAACACATGGGTGTTGATGAAGATAGTCGTCTTCTTCCTCTACTTCCATTTCCTCATCTCATATTAATGAAATACACTCCACATTCTTTCAAAATCACAACTCCTTATATCAACTAGGTTTCGCATACTCAAAAATTAATAAGTGCCAAGAGAATTCTCTCAAAAAATTGGATAATAAGAAGGCATTGGAAGGTTACTTTTGCACAAAAGGAGAACACCCTTAAAACAGGTCAGGCCATGACAGAAATTGACGCAGCTCATAAAAACCTACCAAGGGCTTGGTCATGATTGAATATTCTCAGTTGAAGAATCAACATAATCAATAGCTCTGCACAAAAAGAACATGTGCAAAGCTTGGTGATGCAGAAAGGAATTACGTGAAAGAGCATTCCAGAAAATAAGCTCGAAATAAATCACAACCTCAATCGTCAACATCCTCTTCACAATTGCCATCATCATCATCATCACAATCACAACCTCAATCGTCGTCAGCTGTCCCACAACTTGATGGATATCGTACTAAGTATGACAACCATCATATCTCTTGTCTCTCCAATCTTTATATTCTCATCCCCTTGAATGTCCAAAAATCACAATCGTTTATCCTGCCGGTTATGTTAATTGGTACAGCTGAGTTAATTCTCATATAAAAGGTGCATGCTCATAGAGGTGGTGGTAAGGTGAGGAATGGCATAGAAGATATTGTACTGTTGGAATGATTAATGAATACTGATCCTCAAAAACTTGTATATGGTGTTTCCAACAGACTAGGCTTGCACAATCCTGTGGAATTATCAATGACAAGATCACTAGTGTCAAAGTACATGGTGCTGTTGAGTGCATCAATCCATCATGTATTTCGTTTAAATGTTGCTTCACCACAAAGCCTTGGGATCCTCATTCAGCAACTGCTGTGGCTATTGAGACCGCTCTCAACTTCTCATCCCACTTTACCACCCTTCTTCTCAAGAGCCCATACACCTACACAAACCATCAACACCAGTCGATATATACTGAAAAACACTCCTTTAAGACATTTTCAATATCGAAAAGACCCAATGGAAGTCTATCCTAAGTCAGAGAGAGATTTAAAAAAGTGGTTGACAATTAGTTTTGCTACTTGTCGACTAATAACTGCATGTTTATATGATGATGAATGTAACAAACCTTGGTGCTAAGAAATTAAATTTTCTAAAGTTAATTTGCGGCAGACACACAACATTACATTTTACATTAATAATAAAAGAAAATATGACTTGACATTATTATCGGATTTGTTAACTGTTTATATGATGATGAATGTAACAAACCTTGGTGCTAAGAAATTAAATTTTCTAAAGTTAATTTGCGGCAGACACACAACATTACATTTTACATTAATAATAAAAGAAAATATGACTTGACATTATTATCGGATTTGTTAACAATTCATTCAGAATATAAATATTTATTGAATCATGTAAAAATGTTTGAAACTATTAATGGATAAAATATTAGCATTTTTTACACATTATAAAACAAAATTTAAAATAGTAGCTGACGAGAAGAATTTTAAAGTCGAAAAAAAAACTATGGGGAAATGTTTGAAAATCAATAGTTAATTTTGTAATTAATTTTATACGATGAGTTGATTTTGAGGAAGAATAATATATACACTGCCTGGAAGAAAGTATCGGAATCTCATTTTTTATTAATCACACAAAAACCTACATAATAACTATAAATAAAATTTTTTATATCATCATGTAGTTTAGGTCTTGAAGAATATTTATATAAAATCCCGCGCTTCTATCATTCATATTTATTTTTTGGTTAAAAAAAAAATAATAATGGATCATCAAATTTTAAAAAATAGAAAATAGAAACAAAAGTTAGTATTTAGTTGGCTATCCATTATTGGATATGCATGCCTCGATTCTTCTTGGCATGCTTTCGATTAATTTGTTATAAACTTCTTCAGGAGTGTTAGACCATTCCTCTTGCAAGGCAATCTCCAATTCTTGAGCATTTTTGGGATAATTTTCACGTTATTTTAATCTTCTTTCCAACTCATCCCAAAGATGCTCAATTGGATTGAGATCAGGGGATTGCGATAGCCAATTAGACAAAATGTTTATGTTGTACATTTTTTTTGCAGTATGCACTGGTGCATTATCATCCTGAAATTTGTATGCTCTACCACCAAATTTTGTTCTTATTAAAAGGCAACAAATTAATTATTTTTAATAGCAAACTCTTTACTAATAGAAAAGACAAAATTTCGACCAATCATTCTTTAGAACTTAAACTACAAAATAACATTTCTAGTTTTTTTTTTTATTATGTAAAAATACAAATTCAAAAAATATCCAAAAATGAAAATCGCGAATTTGATTGAAGTTTGTTTTTTTAAAACCAAAAAAATGATAGAAGCGTGGGATTTTATATAAATATTCTCCAAGACTTAAGCTACATGATGATATAAATTTTATTTATAGTTATTATGTAGGTTTTTGTGTAATTAATAAAAACGATGTTCCGATAATTCTTCCCGGCAATGTATATGATCTAATAAATAATAACAATTATTATATATTTGAATAATTTATTAAATAAATACATTCTATTTCCTTCTAAATCATTCATTATCTTTGTTTCATCATCAATGCCATCATCATTTTTTGTAATCATTGTCATCATTTCCATATAAGTCACCATCAACTTTTACAAAATATTCGATGATACAATTATCGGAATTACTGTATTCGTCAAATGACCATGTTAATAGAAATTCTCCAGTTTCATTATGTTTAACTTTGAAATCAAATATGTGTTTCTCAGTATCTTCTTCCTTCAAGGTAACGGGTTCCATAATTCTATACAACAAAATACATTTATATAAGTATTTACATAATAATACATGTATTTATTTCCCCTTCTAATAATACTTACGTATTTCCATTAGACTCATCAGAACGGTCACCGTCATCATCACCAAATTTAATAAATTTTACTTGAAATTTAAGTTTGCCCTTGCCTTCAACTTTTCTAAAAGCAATTTCTACATTAATTTGATCCTTGTCTTCTGTTGACGGTGTAATAATAACTTCATAAGTTTTAGAATCGCCTTTCAGAATCTGGATTCTATAATTGTAGCCATCTCTCCTGGATTCAAGGGGTATAAGTGAAGGTGGAGCTGATGTTGATGGAAGTGTTTGTTGTAATGAATTTTGATCTTTTGTAAGTGATGGAATATTTCCCAAAACTACTGATGGAACGCATCCGCCTAAACAATAACGACAATAATAATGATTATTTTATAATTTTGTATTTGTAAAATTTGAGAAAAGAAAGAAAAAAATAATAACCTGCTAAATGTGAACAAGTACATTTTCCACCTAGGAATGCAGGTAAATTTTTTTCATCGATATGTTCAAGCAAAATATTTTTGAAATCTTTTCCACATATATGAACTTTTTTCAGCATTCCAGGATCCAACCATTTTTTTACCAATGCCCAAATTTTTACAAACATAAAAGGTGCATTGACAACAAATAATCTGCCCAATCTTTCCGGATAATAACTTTGATCTATCTCTGCTATTGTTCTATACAAATATAACGCTGGCATATGTAGTTCTACAATATATACAATCGCGAGTACAAATGTCAATGGAAATCTTTATTTTAATATATACATGTAAACATATGTAAATATATATTTATAACTTACGATGAAATCCCATCCCCTCACAGTCAAATATCACTGTTTCCTTATCAATCAACCTTCCAATTCTTCTACTTAATTCTGGCATAAGAACTTTATGTGAAAATTCTTGACATCTGATATGCCAGTCAACTAATTCTTCTGATTTAATATACTTGGCTAATCCTTTAGCATCATGATAACCCTTTAATTGATTAAGAGATGTCATTTTAACACGGTCAAGCGTTATTATGATCGTATATTTTAAATAAACCTAATCTAAATAATAAATTACCAATCTTTCGATATAAACTGATAACCCTTTAATTGATTAAGAGATGTCATTTTAACACGGTCAAGCGTTATTATGATCGTATATTTTAAATAAACCTAATCTAAATAATAAATTACCAATCTTTCGATATAAACGCTTCTTCCATCTTTATCAATTTTATGAATAGCATTCCCACCAAAATATTTATAAATTCTAGGAAGATAGTCAGGAACACCTTTAACAATTTCTACATTTGTATCATTTATGAAAGGAGCAAGTCCACGTATAGGATAAAGTAACGGTGTACCGGGGTTTAGAACTGGTAAAGGGATTGAGTCTATTTTTTGTTTCTCTCTCCACTTCATAGCCTCTTCAAGTTGTTGTTTTGCCTTTTCCTAAAGATTAAAAAATAATATATATTATACATGTATATTTTTTTTTGAGAGAAGAGTTCATTATTTTATTTTATATTATTATATTATTAATTGAAAATTTAATTCTTACCAAGTTAAAACTTTTAGCCACTGCAAATCGGATCAATGTCTATTATACAAGAATGATTCAATTAATTTTTAAAAATTATTATCATAAAATGTGATTATCTTCTTTACTCACAGCGTTATCATATTTTTCGTTCCCTGCTCCCAATATCTTTCTAAAATTTTTAACAATTTCTTCTCTTTTCTCTTGATTCAATTCTAATGTCGATGAATCATCACCATTATTATTGTTAGTCTTGGAATCATTGCCATTATTTTGAGTATCAGGTGATAACGTCGAAGTTATTGATGATTTCAAAGATTTAAACATTTTTATTATTAGAAAAATTAATTATTGCCAAGATTTTCATCCATTTATTTATTTTCCCTTATTATTATTGTTGTATTATTTTAGTGGGTATACTTGCATCATAGTTAATGTCAAATTATTTGTAATAAAGAAGTTACAGGGTTCAAATTTGGTTAACATAGTATAGTATTAAATTATTTGTGCAGATTTAATTTATTTGTTAAATTGATCATAGGATATAATAATAATTACCGCAGTTCGTTTTTAATATCCAACGAAATAAATTTCTTTGTCGACTATTTAGTCGATTATTTTTAGTTGACTATTTAGTCGACTAAATTTTTTTAATACTAGTATTAGTTGACTAAATTAGCCGACTATTTTAGTCGATTTCCAACCTCTATTTTAAATTAATTATAATTTGTGATATTTTTAATCAAAGTATTCTTATAAATATTTAATCGATTCAAATTAATAAACATATTAAAAAATAATCGACATTAATATTAATACATAAAAAATTTTTCTCAAAGTTGTTAATATACTTCTCTTTTTTATTTCGTAAAATAATTTAAAAAATTCAAAGATGAAAAAAACTGAATTATTAAATAAATTAAAGCTGTTGATTGAATCAATATATCCAAGATATGATTTATTATGTAAACCAATTTCACCTGAGTTTGGTAATAAACTAATTAGAATTAATAATATATTAAGTGAATTACTTGGAACATTAATATTAATAGAAAATTGTGCCAATTGTAATAAAGAAATAATAAAAAAAAATAAGGCTTATATTATTTATTTATTGAATGAATCAATTGATGCATTAAAAGAACTTTCAAATAGATTAGAAAAAAAGAATGAAAAAGAAAGTGAAAAGTTAATTAGAGAGTCATATATAAATTTATTTCTCACAGATGTTGAATTGAATAAAGTTATATTATGCAATAGTTCTAAAGAAAAGGCAATTGAGAACTTGAAGGTTGAATATGGAAATAAAGAGATAGCCAAGTTTTTTTATGAATGTAAAATAAATAGATTTATGGATAGTTATATTGAATGGATTCCTTTTAATGAATTCAAGGATATTGAATATTTAGCTAAAGGTGGTTTTAGTGAAGTTCATAAAGCAATATGGAGCAATTATTGTTCAAGTTCTGAAATAAAGGTGGTATTAAAAAGATTATATAACTCAAATGATAAAATCATGGATATTTTAAGAGAGGTAATATTAATTATTGTAATATAATATTATATAATAAAAAATATTAATTATACTTGTAATTTTTAGTTAAAAGCAAATAGTAAAATGGGTGATTATGTCAATGAATGTTTTGGAATTACAAAAGATCCAGGCACAAATGAATATATGTTAGTATTTGAATATGCTAAAAATGGAGATTTACATAATAATTTATCAAAAAATTTCAAGGAAATTACTTGGGAAAATAAAATTTATTCACTTTATTGGATTTCATCTGGGTAAGGTTTATAAATTTTATTATTAAATTAAATTTTCTTTTTATAAAATTAACTTTATACATTTATTATTAAATAAATTAGATTAAAGATAATTCATGCAAATAATCACATCCATCATGACTTGCACAGTGGCAATATTTTTTCTTATCAAATTATTAGCAAAATAGGAGATTTAGGATTATGTCAACAATTAATGAATAAAAATGAGAATCCAAATGAGATATTTGGAGTCATTCCATACCTGGCACCTGAGGTATTATCAAGCAAAAAATATACAAAACAATCAGACATTTATAGCTTTGGGATGATTATGTGGGAATTCACCACTGGTAAAAAACCTTTTCATAATGTGCCACATGATCATCATCTAATGATGGATATTCTTGGAGGAGCAAGACCTAAAATCACCAAAGACACTCCTGAATTCTATGCTGAATTGATGAAAAAATGTTGGGATTCAAATCCAGAAAATAGACCGACTGCACAGGAAATTTATGATTGTTTCTGTAACTATTCTATTAGGCCTTCTGAAGAAAGTAAGAAAATCATTGAGCTAGCTGAATCAAAACGTCAAGAGATCATTAAATCAGAAAAATATCTTTCAGGAGCAAAAAATTATAAACACCATTTAGATGCATTTTATACAAGTCGCCCACTTAATAAATTAATTGAGCAGGCAAATTTACAAAACAAATTGAGTCAACAATCTACTATATCAATAGATTATGATGATGATTCATCAAGCAAAAAAATTCAACCAAATTCTTTAATTGGATATAATTTAGAAAGTGATGCTTCAGTATTTATGCCAATGCATAATATAAATGATAATGGCAGTAATGTTAATTATGTTAGGAATTTTAATGGTGACAATGATATTGGGAGTTGTAGTGGTAGTGGAGGCATTATTACTGGTAGTGGTAATGATAAAAGAAAGCAATCAAATAAATTAAAAAATATCTTTAAAATGTTTTTATAATTTATTTTTTTATATTCATTGTTAATTTATCAAACTTAGAATCTACAGGCCTTGCTCAAATAAATTCCAAACAAAGAAATCTTTACAGATGATTTATAAATGATGATGGAATTGAAATTGATAATGATCTTGAAATTTCCAATGAACAGTTAATAGATGTTGATGATATCAGTGTTATTGAATCTAGATAATACAAATAATTTAGCAATTATGGCTCTTCCTGTTCCAAAAAACTTAACCATTGGTTTAATAAAAACATTAAAGATGTGAAATTTTGCATACATAATTTGGTGAACCTGAGTTGCAATAAAATGTTTTTTATTTAATTATTATTAAGTATGTTTTTGCGCAATTTTTGTTTAAAAATGCGCCCGACTTTTGTCTAGTGAGTGTATATTCGAATCTGTTCGAATCGAATCGAATCGAATCAAAGTACAATTCGATTCGATTCAAATTCGATTTGAATAAAACAAATCAAAAATTAAGTGATTCGATTCAATACGAATTCGATTCGGTTCAAATTGGTTCGAATTTCATTGATTCGTTCGGAGCCTTATATATTCCTATGGTTACTATAATAAGAAATTTTGTAAAGTTGGTTAACAAATCACTCTTTTTAAATTACTCTTTTTTAAATCAACATATTTGAGATCCAGAACTTACTGTGAAATATCTTGGTTAATCTGAAACTAGAGGTTTTATTTATCTATTATTATTAAAAAGAATTTTTGTATAAAGTTACAAGGCTTTTAACGAAATTCCCCTTTTTTAACTCATTTTATTTTTTGAAATCCTGGACCCAGTGACCCAGCTTTTAGAATATTGCTGAGTAAGTGTGGTAAATAAACAGTATAAGGTGTTAACCATTGGTTTTTGTGTTTAATATTTTTAAAAAAACAAATTCCTAGTGCATAACTTTCTTTGATTTTAAAAACAACATACTTTGAGCAATTTGACCGATTATTAGTGATTATTGAGTGATTATGAAAGAGAAAATTGAATAGTATTTATTTCGATTATTATAATTTGGATTTTTTTAAAATTTTTTTTTGTTTACGTATTATGGAAGCATCACGTAAACTCATTTGCAACATATATGAATTGATCGACGAGGGGGTCCAGAATCGATTTCCATATTAATATTGGGTAAAATACCTAACTGTATTATAGTTTAATAAACAAATGATTATTTTAAAATTAATATTTGAATGATTTTTCCCACGAAATTTTTTGTAGCTTTATTAATACAAAAATACAATCTTGTTATTAAAAATTAAATATATAAATAAAATCAAAATCATATTATTTATTATTTATTTGTTTTTTTTTTTTTGCAAAAGGTTGTAATTTATTTATTTATTTATTTTATTTATTTATTTATTATTTATTTATATTTCTTTATTATCGAGTTTACATGTATATGTTTACCCACATGGTACAAACATCGTGACCCATCTTTGCCCATCTTTTTTAAAATTTTTTTTATTATTAGTAGGCGGACAACTACTTTAAGTTAAAACATACGCATGTTTGTTTAATTGTTGTTGTCCAACAACAATATTTATTAATATCTTCCTGTCGTCAAAAATTCAAAATACCTTTCAAAAAAGTTTTTGAACCCTATTTTCAAGGCAGCCACATGAATCTTTATTGTTTTTTCACATCCACAAGGAAAACTTTGGAAAAATGATTTAAACCATCAATTGCATTAATTACTACACATCTAAACTCGATAAATCGGACATTTATTTATATTATAAAGTACTTTAAACAATTGATTGCTGCGTCCGACTTATCGAGTTTAGATGTGTAAACCATTTTTTTCGTGATCTTTATAATCTTTGAATTCTTCTAACTCTAATTTTTTTAAAAAATAATCTATTATTATTATCTTCCGTGTTTCTCCGATCAACAATATTTCAATTGTTTCATTTTTTTTCAAATTGGTTATTAAATTATCTTAATACGGGAAAGGTTTTTCACTTAATATTAACAGTCGGGACGACTTTTCACGCGATCAACATGTCTACTGTAGTAACTATATATGTAGAAATTCTATGCAACGTGTCAATTTTTACTATTAAAATCGAAGAGAAACGTGAGGCTTATTTTATTTCCTTGCAAAATTTTAGCTACGGTTTACTAAAAAATTACTCGTTGAAAGTTATACCTTCAATTCTTAATCACGTTACAACAAATTATTTGACTTGTAATTTCAATAAAATATAAACAAGAAACCACCATTTGGTTTTCAGAAATAATATTACATCATTGAGTTATGAGTAGGGCTTCTATTCGTAATCAAATTATTCGTAATACAGTTGACCTTTAATTCGAATTAAAAAAATTTATCTGAATTAAAAAATTCATTCGAATCAATATTAATATTAAAAAGTTTATTCGAATCTAAAAGTTGATTCGAATTAAAATTTTAATTCGCTTTATTCAATTTATTTGTTTTATTCATTATCGGAATCTTGGGTTTGTTCATTCATTTTATTAGATTATTTGGAATCATGGGTTGTTCAATTACTTAAATATTCAAACTATATATACAACAAGGTTTAATATTGATTTTATTATTATAAAAATTGAAATTAAAAATGAAACTAATAAGGAAAGACTGAAACAAGATTCATGTTTCTTTTAATAAATAGCAATCTTTCCAGTGAGCTTGAATTTAAACTGGTCCTTAATTATTTGTTTTATCCGAATTAATTTTTTTCGAATTATTTGCTTTATTTAAATTAATATTAATATTAATATTAATTTCCTTATTCGAATAGAAACCCTACTAAGATAGTCGACTATTAGTTGTTCAAAAAAAAGTTTAGTCGACTATTTTAGTCGATTACAACCTCTATTTTTTGGAGAAAAGTAACCCGTTGTTAAAAAAACATTGCATTATTTGCGTCATATATCGTGATCTAGCTTCTTCCGAGTAAGATATGGATACTACAGTTGGTATATTCGAACAATTACGTGGTCATTTGCCAAACTGTCTGTATTTCAAGACCATTATTTTTATTATTATGAATAGACGAAACAATGTTTGCATTAAAATAAATGTTTAATGAAAAAAATAATTAATAAAAGATTAAATTAATAAAAAATATTATTATAATAGTTTTAATAAAAAAAGTAAAAAAAGTTGTAATTTAAAATCTTAAAATCAAAAATAAAATAAAATAAAATAAAATTATTTTTCAACGAAATTGTTTGTTTTTGCGAATTTAACGATCAAGAAAAAATCACCAAAAAATAATTGGCGACCGATTTCTTTAGAGTTGGGTATTTAATCGAGTAATATGTTCGTTTGTGTGTATAATTCCTCTAAAATTAGGTGTTTATTATATATAACAAGAAAAGTAATCGAGGGATTCGAAATATTTTTTGTGTGTGTTTAAAATATTATTGCCGATTGCCGATATAATATATAACCAATATCCAACTTTCGAGTTGGATATTTAATTAAGTCCAAGTTTATTTGCCAAAATGACAAACTCGTCTGTGTATTCAAGGCTGGAATTCCTTCAAGGATTAGTAAAAACCTTTGCCAATTCCACATTACTAATACCAAAATTAGGAATTTGCTTTGCAATCTCGTTTAACAAGGTAAGATAAAAAATTAGTTGTGCAGGTGGCAAATCCGAATTTGCGTTATTTTCAACAAGTACAATTTGTGCTTTTCCAAGACTAGGTACATAAATCGCTATGGTTTCTCCATTAGACAATTTTGCAATGGTGAAAAGAGATCCCAACATCGTACTTTTAATTGATCGTTTGATAGATTTTTAAAAATTAAGACCAAATTTAAAATAAAAATCGATTTTGCAGTATATTTTTACGTAAAACTTATTTATATATATATATGTAAAATAATATTAAGAAAATAAAAAATTTTAAGTTTCATTTCAACACACATATTTATATAAAAAACTTTTTTTAAGGGAAAAAGGTCTTTGCGTTCATCTTTCGCGTTGTTCTTAGTCTTTTTATAATCTATTAACTCTATTTTTAATTTTATTTATTTAAAGCTAGATTATTCTCCATTGTTTCATTTAAGAGTACATACATCTATTCGATCTTGTGTTTACATAATTATAACCTTATTTTCAATAACATAATCGAAAAAAAAAAACTATTGGACCGTTTGAGCCATGTGGCTGTTAATTTTAAAAAGGAAAATTTTTATTGTTACAGTGCATATCTGCATCAATAAATAAAAGCTATTTGATTTGTACACATGCCTGCATGATGACCAAACTGTCTACATCTGAAAGAAAATTAATTGTTACTTAATTGCGCATAATGGCTTTTATTGCACAACCAATACTTTGATAACCAAACAATTCTACATTTATCACTTTGGATCTCTTAATATTAACAATGGATAGATTGAAGCCGTATCCTTAATTAGATATTTTTCAATATCCTTTAGCATGGAGGTGGGAAGTTTCCGAAATTGAGATGCCATTTCACCTATCGTTGTATTCAAAGAATGATTATGACTTGATTTTGGAAAATATGCCATGGACATTCTATTTTTTTGAGAATGGACATTATGGTGTTCCCACTAAATGAGAGTAAGACCTTATTCTAGGTTCAAATTATCAGTGAAATTAACATTAAATGAGTGTAAGCTTGGTGGTATAACTAACTATTCAATTATAATAATAATAAAGAAAGAAAAGGATTATTTTTTTTATATATATATGAAAAAGTTTATTTTTAATTTTTTTGATAAGCTACACGAGCACATGATCACCTAATGGGTATGCATTATGATTTTTCCCACGAAATTTTTGTAGATCCTGTTTAACTTTATACAAAAAAAAATAAAAAAAAAAAAAATAATCCTAACACAATATTAATAATAAATTATTTATTAGTTATTGTTATTATCATTATTATTATGAAGATGAGAATCTTTTCGATACAAAAAGAGATCAGTAAGAACCGTCTCCGAAGACATGATATTAATCTATAACATAAAGAATATAATCGACGAGAATATTCGCAAGTCTAAAATTGAGAAAACTGCTTCCAGGTCATTCGACCAATCTTGCGTTATTTACATCATATTAATCGAATTTATAACATAAGGTTAGATATTTAATATTAAGTAATAATATTTCAATTTAATTTAATTTGAAAATAGTCAAAAGGGTTTAATTTTTTTTTAGAAGGAATTATTTTTTCATATTTTCATATAAATGATTAAAACGATTAATTAATCAATTATTCCATCACAAACGTTCCATAATATTTAATTAGATCACTGATGAAATTTTACTATTTCTAAACAAATAACTATTAATATATATATCATGGAAGTATTAATTTTATTATCATCATCTTTGTATATTTTATTTATGATATATTATATATTTATTGCTGGCATTTCTTTATAATTAATAATTGATTATTAACTACCTTGAATGATTTGTAATGTAAAGCTACTAAGTAGATGCCTGCAATAGGATCTAACCAGGACCAAACCCACGTTGCTGGCTGGGTATAATTAATGAATGAGGGTTGGACCGGGTTGATATTTATATCCAGCATTTACAGTGTGTTATCATACAATTGGATTTCTTCTATTTGAATAAAATGAATAAAATAAGTAATTTGAATAAACAATAAATTTAAGATTGAATCGTATATATTACAGATAGAAACTTTTAAACAATAAAATTAAAAAAAAATAACAATAATTTACCGGATTTTGTCACATTATTCTGTGCGCCAATTTCACAATCGCGAATTTCTCCTTATTTTACATATAAATAAAGAAAATAACAAAACGAATTAATTTTATACTTTTCTAGTTTAAAATGCGTAGAAAGGAGCTGTCAGTTGCTCAACGCGAGCAAATTATTGGTGCATATATTAGTGGTGTTAGACAAAAAGTTATTTCTGCTCAGCTCGATATTCCTACCAGTACAATAAATGATACTATCAAACTGTATAAAGAAACAGGTTACGCAACACCTGAAAAATATCCCGGTCGTCCAAAACTGCTCACTCAACGTGATACACGCACTTTACAACGTATCGTCCATGATAACCGTTTTTCCCCTCTTGGTGATATAACAAATAAATTTAATTTTCATCTTAACACAAATTTACATTATAATACAGTTAGAAAATATCTTCGTGATGAGGGTCTAGGTAATTATGCTACAAAAAAAACCCTCTTTTAACGGAGAAACAGCGAAAAGATCGACTAAGATGGAGCAGAGAAAAACAAAACTGGGAAGAAGAATGGAAAAATGTGGTATGGTCGGATGAGTCAAAGTTTGCTCTTTTTGAATCAGATGGCTGAGTAAGAATATGGAGAAAACCAGGGGAGCTTATAAAGAGGATTGTATTCAACCTACAGTTAAATTTGGCGGAGAATCTGTGATGTTTTGGGGGTGTTTTGGTTGGCATGGTGTTGGACCCTTGATTGTGGTGGAGGGAAACATGGATTCAAATGATTATAGTAACATCCTTGCTGGACACTTTATACCATGGGTTAATAATTACCCTAATTCTATTTTTCAGCAAGACAAAGCTCCATGTCATACATCAAATTATAGTGTTTGGTGGATGAAAACACATGACATTCCGATTTTAGATTTGGTGGTGCAAAGTCCAGATCTTAATCCGATTGAGAACTTGTGGAACTATCTGGATCATCAAGTATGTAAAAGAAAACCTCTGCCTAAATCTAAACAGGAATTAATAAATGTAATACAAGAGGAATGGGGGAAAATCAGCATAGAAACGCTAGATTGTTTAATTTTAAGCTTACCAGATCGTGCCAAAGCAGTAATTAAGGCTAAAGGTGGACATACTAAATATTAGCCTGTTCATTTAAAAATTTTAAACATTAAACATCACATTTAGGATTTTATTTTGAAAACTTGTTTTTGTCAAATAATAAATATAAAAATTTTTTTACATATACACAAAAAACATAATTCCATAAATAGTAAAAAAAACCCGGTAAATTACTGTAGGCCAGTGTATATTGTATATATTGTATATATTATATCTATTATATATTAATTAAAAAATATAAAAATATTATTCAAATAGACTCATGGAATTTTAAAAATTAAGCTTTAATTGGAAATTGATGGAAAAAATAAACAAATGTATTTATATGATTAATGCTGCGAGGGTAAATGTTATAACGTCGAAAAAACTGTTGTTTTAATGAAAATCAAAGAAACAGATTCTCGCCAACAAAAGTAAAAACAAGCCAGAAGGGAAAAGCCAAAACCTTGGATTTATTATACTTTTGAATTCGGAGTGGTGAAAATATTACAAGTGTTTTTTCTGGTGTGTTATTTTTATTTACCTAGATGGTTTATTAAAAGATTAGTTGATGTCAGAGATAATAAAAAATAGATATATAAAGAAAGAAGGTATGTGTGTGAAAACCATCGAGCAAAAAAATCATTGGATTCGTTGATTAATTGATCAAGCTCTATTTTAAAAAAAGAATTTTTAAATAAACTTTGTTATTAGAGACTATATATAAGTTTATTTGGTATTTTTGGTGATTTTTCAATTAGTTTGGTGGAAAGGCACAATTTTTTATCATGCCTTTAATATGTAGCTTTTTTATTTTTTTTGGAGCAAAGTGACCAGTTTGTTAAAAAAACATTGCATTTCAATGGAATATTTGTGTCATATACCATGATCTAGCTTCTTCTGACTAAGATATAGATACCGCAATTGGTATATTCAAGTAATGTTGGCAAATTACGTGGTCATTTGCCAAACTGTCTGTATTTCGAGACTATTGTTTTTATTATTATGAATAAACGAAAACAATGTTTAACAAAAAAATAATTAATAGAAGATTAAATTAATAAAAAAAAATATTATTGTAATAAAAAAAGTTGTCCATAATTAATTAAAAAAATGTCAATTAAAATAATCGAGTAATAAATTTGTTTGTGTATAATTCCTCCAAAATTAGGAGTTTATTGCATATAACAAGAAAAGTAATCGAGGGATTCGAAATATTGTTTGTGTGTGTTTAATATTAAAATATTATTGCTGATTGCCGATATAATATATAACCGATATCCAACTTTCGAGTTGGATATTTAATTAAGTCCAAGTTTATTCGCCAAAATAACAAACTCGTCTGTGTATTCAAGGCTGGAGTTCCTCCAAGAATTAGTGAAAATCTTTGTCAATTCCACATTACTAATATCAAAATTAGGAATTTGCTTTGCAATCTCGTTTAACAAGGTAAGATAAAAAATTAGTTGTGCAGGTGGCAAATCCGAATTTGCGTTATTTTCAACAAGTATTTGTGCTTTTTCAAGATCAGGCGCATAAATCGTAATTTTTTTGCCATTTGACAAGTTTGCAATGGTAAAAAGAGATCCCATCATTGTATTTTTCATTGATCGTTTTGATAAAATTTTAAGACCAAATTTCAAAATAAAAATTTTTGAAATCGATTTTGTGATTAAAATTTTATTTTTTAGGAGCCATAATATTATTTATATGTAATTTTTTACCTTAATTAATTCTAGCGTCCAGAAATCAGCTAACATATGATGCTATTGTCGTATTTACCATATGATTTCAAAAATATGAGGAAGAATGTCTAGGCGTTCATTTTTCGTATTATTCCTTAATCAAAGCCTTTTTTATAATCCAATTCAGTCTTAAACTATTTGCCATATAACTTAAAGGGATTAGAAGAAGGAATTATTTAAAAAAGCTAATTAACTTACCAATTCATACTAGATCAATTTATAGATTCGAATTTTGGAATTTGACCTTGGGCGGCAAGTATGAGTAATAGGTTTGACGGATAATCAAATTTTCCAAATTAGTTTAAGTCCAAAAAGGGAAACTAGGACAGATGATACAGTACATATACGTGTATAATAGTAGCTAACTAATTTTATGAAAAGAACGTTCAAGGTTTCGATCTAATTTGTTAAAAGGAAAGTATATCATGCTTAGTGGCTTAGGTGTATATAACAAATATAGAATTATTAATTTATTGTTTCTTTTCCCCACAACAGTATCACAAGACTAAAATAAATAATTTTTTAGAGGCTAAAAGATATTTAGAATTTAACTAATTTCAGAATATTTTTCGTAATAAATTTGTGCGCATGATACAGTACATACGGCAACATTTGAATTGTGGAATTCCAGACCAGGAAGTCCGAGCTAATGATGAGAGATATTTTTTTTCTGCTTCTAAAATTTTTTTTCAAAAAATTAAAACGCATTATTCTCCCCAACTAAATATTGTACTAAACCAATTATAACAATAACAACGTCAGCTACAATTGCGACATCAACAACGAATTCTTCCAAATCAATCCTCTTTCCAATTTGGAAAATCAAGACTAGCTACTAGTGAATTGCATTGTTTATTTGAGTCCCACACCACAAAATATTCATTACGTGGAACAAAAAAGAATCTAATGCGGAGATTTGCAAAAAAAAGAGATAATTTGATTTCTTTAGAAGAAACTGAAGAAAAATAGTCAAAACAAAAAGACTAAGACACAACAAACCCAAACTCCTTTACCAGATCCAGAAACACAGCTTATAGAGAGTTGTCAGATACACAAATAAAATCAGAAGACAGAGGATATATTACATTGGCATTATCGAATATGAGCAAATAATTGAAGAACTAAAAAGGCAAAAAAAAAAGAGGGATTAAATACAACACTTGATAAAAATAAAGAATTACAAAATTGCTCAAAAAGAGCGTAAAAAACCTTTATGACGATATTTAAGGAATGATCAGGGCTGAGTGACTTTTCTAAACAAAACATTCCTTTTATATTATGTCGATCATTTTCAACTTTAAATATCAATAAGATTCATATAAATATATATGGAATAGTTATATAAAAATATGTACTTAATATTAAAATATCTAGCCTTATATTATAAATTAAATCTTTATTTCATATTATAAAAAAAAACATCAAATTTGGTCAGATGACCTCGAAGACTGTTTTTGCTGGAAAAGGTTATTATTATTATATATTTATCATATTTATTATTGGAGCGTGATTAAAACATATAAATATTATATTATAATGCATATACATATAATATTGATGGAATAAATTAATTAATTGACCAATCGTGATTCTACAGTTTATCTCTAGAAAAGATAATAACATTTCTTTGTTAAAAAAAAATTATTTCTTCAGCTGGGTTTAATTTGATCACGTGGCCACAAGTTATGCTCATGACATTGTTGTATAGTGTGGGTTACACTAACACATCAACTTTAAAACTAAATAGAAATTTGATTATTTATTAATTCAATTATATTTATTATAGCCTATAAAATTAGATTTACTATTAACCCGAATACTATTGCATTGTGTAATTAATCTTAAATTAATATGGGCCATATTATTTATTAAAATTTATTATTTATTAATTCATATTGGATTCACTATTAACCGAATTAATATTAAATAGATCCGAATTCGTAAAAATGATTTCGTGTCATTATTATGTATTGTGTAATTCAATCTTATATTAATATGGGTAATATTGATTCTATAACATAAAAAAATAATGACTGGCATATTTATTGTTTAAATTTAAAACCAAGCTAAATTCATTGTTTAAAAAAGTATTTTTCAAATAAAATTTTATATTTTTTATGTTTAGAAAAATAAAAGGTAAAAAAAAAATTTTTGGGGAAAATGAAAATTTATGTGAATTCAGCCAATCAGAATTTCATATCTAATACCCCATTCCAAATTTTATAGATTCAATTTCACATACAACGGGGGGGGGGATAAGCGACCAATACTAATATTAACCATTAAAAAAAAGACCGTCCGTTTTTATCTACCAAAAGCATCATACGAAGCATAGTTGGCTCGGTCTAAAGACATCCTAAATCTTGCGCAAATTTTAAAAAGTATAGAAGTCACTTTCTGACCTACCTTTTAAAAAATAGCGATAGAATAGTCTTTAGTTTCAATGTAATAAAAAGATTTTGTTAAAAAATTATTTGTTGTAGAGTTCTATTCTTTTTTAGAACATGTATTTTACTATGTTCACGAATTTGGCCACTAGGATCATTACGATCTTCTAAAATCATATCTAAATTTGGCCGTGAGAAATAAAACATTTGATTTTTACAATGGTAAATAAAGATATATATTAAAGAATTAGATAACATAATCCTAAAACAATAATACACCAATTATAAAAAAAAAAGAGATGATAATAATTAATCTACTTTTTTAAAGCATCTTCGCGAAAAATGCATGGTCCCGAAAATTCTGCAGAGGGCAGAAGGAAATTTTTTTT